GGAAAGAGTTGGAAAAAGGAGGTGGAGAACAAGAACATACATGTGGTCAGGAACAGCTGATTCATGAGCCAGACTCTCCAATCCTCACTTGAGCCAGGTCTCATCAAACCCTCCAGCCAGGCAAAGGCCCTAGTGCCGAGGTCTGGAAAGCCCTTCCCATGCACCGTCAGGGAAAGTCGACCAAGCCAGCGCCCACCGATTCGGTGGCCTGACTTCACCCCTCCATTCCACCCTCCCTGGTGGCATGGAGAAAGGAGGAGGCTTCTGGCCAAAGAGCCACACGAAGGGCTCACTGCAGCACGGCCCCACCAGCCCCGGGCACATCATCCATCCCAAAGCCTACACCACACCATGCACCCCCAGATCCTCCCAGCCCTCCTCTCCTGCCACGCCAGACCAGGCAAAGCACGACCAGGACCCCAGCTGCAGGTTTCGGCTAATGTGCGACTGGGCAATAGCAGAGAGGGGTGGCCTTCAAATTTCCACCGCCTGAAGACGCCGCGGGTCAGCACGACCTTCCAGTTTACACTGCAGACACGCACCAGTCTGCACGCTACCTGAATTTGTTTGAGGAAGAATCAGAGAGGAGGACATGGTGGGGGAAATCGATGTTCTGTTGAATTATTTGTTCTGTATTCATTTATTACCTGCCCGGCCACTGTTTAAACTGGCATGGCCTGGTTCTTGTTCTGCCAAAGTTTAACCCCTGGTAGACTTTGAAGGATGGCTGATGTGCCCCACATGTCACGGCACCCCACGGAAGAAGAGAAAAGGTGCCTTACGGAGCCCACGGCGGTGAACCTGTGAGGTAGGTCACATGATTACAACCTGAACAGCAGGATTTATTGGAATTTGTTTCAAAGATGCTTTTTTTTTTCCCCCTTTTCTATCTGAATGGGATGAAACGGCAACAGCAAAAGACCAATGACCACATTGGTGGCGATCACTGATTCCTCATGTGCGTGTTCAAGGCATGAGCAGAGCCTGCCCAGTGCTTTCTGGAGAAAGGCACAGCGTGTTCTGGGAAACCAGAGCATTATTGGTGGCTTTTTTGCAGTCCCCTGGGTGGCTTCGAGACCAACACTGGTTCTCCCAGAGACACCTGAAGTCAAAATTCATCTTGGAAGCAGAAATGCTAAGGACACAACCAAAGAACCGAGCCCCAAGCAGGGTGGATATTCGAAGCCCTGAGGGAGCTGGCTGCTGGGAAACCGCAGGTGGGCTCAACGGGACGCAGATGATGGCTTTTGTCATCTGCTTTTATGCTGTCTCTTTGCTGAAGGCACGTCAGGTGAGTATGTCCCAGGCCCTTTCTTCTACGCCCCCACAGAGACTGGGATTGTCGACTCAGCCAGCCCCGGGCACGTCCTCGCGCGTCAGAGGTGCCACATCCATGGCCACGCCGCGGGCAGTCTGGGAGGATGGCAACCACAGCTTGAGGCGAGACCTCTCACGTGCAGCCAGGCTGCCGACCCATCACAACCCTCCTCGGGCTCACCAATACCATCGCCCTGAAAGGGGTAAAAAAAAAATCCCAAAGAGCTTGAGACACGAAGGGCAGATGCTCCAGATTGAGAAATAAATAGCAGGTTGGCTGGAAGAAAGCCCTTTGGAATCCAACGTCCATCGCCCCAGTGCCACCAGGAGCCTCCTCATGAGATCAGTCTGTAATTATAACTTTTTTAACGAGATTTCTTTCAAAACCAGAAACAGTTGGGGACAGGGCTTGTAGAGGGGGCTTCCCCGCCACCCCCACCAGCTGATCACAGCATGGGTTTGTTGCTATGTACGAGAAGAGGAGAGGCCCCCTCGGAAAAGAAAAGAGTTTCAGCTGCTCTTGGAGAAGTGGCGAACGCAGGTGGCTCCTAGTTCTGGTGCCGCTTCATGTGGAGAGCCAGATGGTCGGAGCGGGAGAAGCACCGGCCGCAGGCGAGGCACTTGAAGGGCTTGGCACCCGTGTGCTTCCGATAGTGCCGGGTCAGCTCGTCGGAGCGGGCAAAGCGCCAGTCGCAGCCTTCCCACGTGCACTTATAGGGCTTCTCGCCTGCAGGGAAGAGCCACAGGTCATAGGCACAGCCCCACCACGTGAGAGCCGACGTGGGCGCGCATCTGCCCAGCCTCCCAAACGCCCACCCCGTCCTCTCGGAGGTGCCCGTCCTCCTTGGGAGGCTCTGGAGGGCACCCAGGGCTGCCCCAACACAGAACGGGGCTCGTGATGCTGTATGCTACCGGGGTTTGCTTCCTGCGCACAGTCCACGGCCACCATGGGACCATAAACTGTCGAGCTGCAGGAACCAGGTCTTGCCCAGGTGCCCCACTCCGCTTTGCTTGCTAGGCTTGGTTTCTAGCACTGTTCAAAGTTCTTAGAATCATCGAGTAATAGAATAATAGAACCATAGACTCATTAAGGTTGGAAAGACCTCTAAGATCATGAAGTCCAACTGTCACCCCGACACCATCGTGCCTGCTAAACCATGTCCCCAAGTGCCACATCCACATGGTTTTTTGAACACCTTGTTGCATTTTGCACCATTTCTGCCAAAAAAATTATCTAAGGTTTTGTTTTTAACTAAAAAGCCAAAAATTCCTACGGAGGGCGCTGGCTGCTCACACACGCGGGGGGGGCATCAGGAGGAAGAAGGGGGGCTGTGCCGTATAAATTTTCCTGCAAGCCTCGCATCTTTGAAACCACCATCTAACACTCTCTGCCTTAAAGTTCAGCCCCGCAGCAGCAAAGTGTACACAAAACATTGTGTTTTCTGCAGAGTACTCGGGTGATGTAATGCCTCTGCCCTCTCCCCCCCTTCCGCCTGTACACACCTATTCCCAAACCGAAATCAATTAAATTGTGCAACTTCTCAGCCAGCTGGGAACTGGACTGGAAAAGCCCGTGCCCGCTTCCAGCTCCCTGCGTGCCCAGGTTGTAGGGCTGAACCCTGGCTGCAGCCCTCTCCTCGCATGGGTGTGGTGCTCTCAAATATTAGCCCTCGCTCTTAACAGCCTGAACAAGCAGGCAGAGTTCAGGGAATGTGCTGACTTTCCCGACCTCAAATATTTACCGTTTCATCGGCCAATTGCCGAGTGCACCGTCGCGGCGCGAACGCACGTACACACGCAGCGTGCATGCACAGGCATGCGTGTCGTGCCCTGACACGCTTCCCGGCGAGCGGCCGTTCCTCCCCGCAGCCCGCGCGCTAGGCGGGCGGTGGGTTTGGCCAGGAGACAGAAAACATTCAGCCACACCAAGATCTACAGTGCCTTGCACGCACCAGACAGAACGTGAAAGCGCGGGCACGTGAACCTGGAGGAGACAGGGCGCCAAGACCTCCTCCCGCTCCCCAAAAAAGCCACCGGGCTCTGCGCCGCGGGGAGGAGAGAGGGGTATTTTCCATACGGAACTCGAAGTCCACTCGCCAGCAGCACGCTGGGTGTTTTACGGCACGCTGGGGATCTCGGGGTTTGCGTTCGCATGCTAAAAGACAAAGGTGGGATCTGCACTGCGCAGCCACAGACATTGTCCCGGCCAGGTCACCTGGCTGGGTCAACCCCACCAAGGCTCCCGAGTTCCAAACAATAACAGGTTGAGCTCCGGGATGGAAACAAAATGCTTTCCATTGTCCCACGAGCTGGCTCCATCTCCCAGGACAGCACGGCAGGCCAAGCTCAAACAAAGGGCCCAAACTGGCATTCCCAGCCCCGGGAGGCGGGCGAGCAGCCACCGGGTTATATATTTAATCTCACAATGGCACCCAGGAAATGAATGGTGACTCCAGGACATGAATACTGCCCAGCCCATAGCAACGGGCAAACCACAAGAAAAGCTCTTGGAGATCATGTACTTCTCAGCCCAGTTCCCATCAGGGGAGGAATCGAGAGGAAGGGCGTTATTAACCCTTCACGTGACGGAGACGAAGCGGCATCGAGCGTCCTTAGCCCGACAGGCGTTGGGACAGCCCTCCGGTGCCATGCTCAGCGAGGCTGAGTCCTCAACAGCAAAATGCAAGGCTTCAAACCTTGGATGCAGACACCCTGAGCCCGCCTGCATACAGCTCTCTGTCCTGAATTCCCTGCTTTTTAGCCGCCCCACAACACCATCCATTTTCTTGACTACTCAGGTCACATCCTCCTTCACCTCTCTGTCCTCCCCTCTTACAGCAAGTGAAGTGGAAGAGGGCAAACATGCTTAGATTTCCAGCACAATTACTCGGAAATCTGGAAAAATGACTGCATTTTCTTGGTTCAAAAACTGCCCAAGTTTGCCTAGATATTTCTTTAAATTGTGACTTTTAAAGATGGTGCCTGTCTCAGGTGGGTCGCGTCTCTGGGCACAGAGCAAAGACCCATGCTCTGAACGGAAAGGGAAAAGAGATATTTTATTTTAAATTTTATTTAATTTTTAATTTTATTTAATTTTAAAGCGAGAGCTCTGCCATAGCCCATTTGCTGCAACAAATGCTTATCACCACCCAGCCCTCAGAGCCGGGACAATGTCCTTCCTGTTCCTTTCTTCCACCCCTTCCGTGTTGTTCTCCAGCCCACTCCTACCCAGGCCCTGCCAAAAAAATATTGTACTGCATGCACAAAGAAAAAATTCTTTGCTGGCTTGTTCGAAGGACTGATAAGACGAAAACAGAACTGAGCCAAGTGCAAGAACTGATTCCCAGACTCAGGATGGGTTTTGTTCGTTGTTAATAAAAAAGAAAAGTGAACTCTGGGCCAGCTTAATTGCTTTCAGTAAAGATCAGCCCTTCTATAAAGGAGATTTATGAGGGCACTGATGGTTCCTGGACTACCTGGGGATCTGATAAAGTTTCAGGTATAATAAATACCTTAACGAGGAGACCTGTGCTTGAATGCACAACTACCACCGAGCGAGGTTTACCCCGGGAAGCTGGTTGTGGTGGGAGCTCCTCTCTGCTAGTGACCCTGTTTCCCCCAGCAAGGGCAGCCCACGGCATCTTTGCCCTCAGGAATGAGGGCACAGCCTCTCTGTACCTGTGTTCGGAGCCCATCTGTACGTGTGTTCGGAACCCTTCTGTACACGGTTACGGGTTGTCTGTGTGGCTGGTACACAAGGAGAGACGAGGGGCTCCTTCCTCTCCTTGGGAACCACAGGGGTGCATGACACAAAAGAGACAGCCCTTGTCTCCTCAGAGGTCGTATATATGCACCACATGCCTTTACGCAACCGTTCTGTGGGCTAAGCAGGATCAGGCCTGGCCAGGATTTGGGAGATCCCAAAGGAAGAGCTCAGAGTGATAGGGGTTTTGGGGGTACCTCCTCCCAATCCATCGACTCGAGAACCTCCAAGATTCACCTAAATTCTAGACCATCCCTCCAGAAGGCAAGCCAGCGCACACAGCAGCGTACAGCCGCTATAAACCAGTGCAACCATTGGACCTTTTTTAACATTAACGTCAATAGACTTCACTGTGCTCCTTACCCCAGTAACCACCCTAGATTAAGGTAATCAACTCAGCCATGTAATCACCACCATTAAGAGGCAGAGTAGAAGCAAGGTAGGCGGGCAGAATTTCCTGACGACGCAGTGCTCTTACCTGTGTGGGTCCTCTGGTGTGCCTTCAGGTGGGAGCTCTTGGTATAAACTTTTGAGCAACCTGCAAAAACAGAAAAGATACCACTTCCCTGTGAGAAAGGGGCCCTCGCTCCTGGGATGCATCAAGAGGAGTGTAGTCAGCAGGTCGAGAGAGGTTCTCCTCCCCCTCTACTCTGCCCTGGTGAGGCCCCATCTGCAGTGCTGTGTCCAGTTCTGGGCTGCCCAGATCAAGAAAGATGAGGAGCTGCTGGAGAGAGTCCAGCGGAGGGCTACAAGGATGATGAGGGGACTGGAACATCTCTCCTACGAGGAGAGGCTGAGGGAGCTGGGCTTGTTCAGCCTGGAGAAGACAAGGCTGAGAGGGGACCTTAGAAATG